ACATATCTGGCAGTATCTGTAGCAAAGGCAAATAGGGAAGCCATTGTGACTTCGAAATGCACACATCTGAACGGACCTCCTTGAAAAGAAACATGAAATAGGTTATAGTCACTTCTTTGGTAAGAGACAGGCCACCAAGATAAGGAAGCCTTTTACAAAGTCATGGATACTTCTGAATAAAGCATACTACGGTGACAGAGAACAAATCAATGAATCCATCATTTCAAAGCACAGCTCTACGGAAGTGCTCTTAGACTTGCAGCACCTGGAAATATTACCGGAATTGGAGAATGGAGTGATAAATGAATTAAGCCAGTATTGCAGAGACTCAGGAGAAGAGGACAGCTATCAGATCCGGAACCTCACCGCTGTCCTCTAGCTTTTATTCCTGCTCTCAGACTTGAAGGAGTGAGGGTGAAACAACGCAGGTCTCTAGAGCTGGCAAGACCCAAGGCAACCTGCCTTCCACTGACAGGCATCAGTGTGTATGGGTCCCATTTGCAAACCATCTAACTTTAGACAAGGTTAACCCTGCCCACACCATTTAAGATACAGTCAAAGGCAAAGATGACACAACAGCAGCACTGAGGAGCTCTCCTAAGGTCTTGGAAATTAGCAAGCAAATGGAAACCAATGCTATAAAAACGTAACAGAGTTACAGAATTAGCTGAACTCTGATGTAACACCAAGGGAGACTTCTCACAAGCACACCACCACCAGCTTACTCTCACAAACACTGATCTTCTTGCCCAACACCTGCCACTTCCATGGGGATTTCTCTTCCTCACTTTTTTGTCCTGAGAATCTTGCCCCTGCAGTCTTCTTACAGTGCATACCCTTATTCCCTCCATAGGATATTTACTTGTTTCCTAGCTAAAATATAGTCTGAGGCCATTTCCTCCAACTGCCTGCAGTGAAATGAACCGAGTGCCAGCCCTATTAAGATCAACTATTCTTCTCATTTACTTGAGCCATCCCACTAGTTATCAGTGGTGACTTTGAAAGGAAAGGATAGCTTTATACCCTGCTCAGCTCTCACTGCAGCAGGCACTAACAAATAACTGAAGCTTTGTTTTCAGAAAAAGTAGCCTTGCTTTAGAGCTGACAGGATGATCCATAAAGTCACACAGTGACCAAAATATTTCCAGACCAGCCCACTCAGTGGCAGCCTGCTGTCTGGCCACAGGTCTGGTTTCTCCTGGCATAGGAAGCAATGTTGTTGAATTGGTCTGGGATTCCTGGCAAGTGAGAGCTGTGAGTATACTTCATATATATGTGTGTATATATATGTGTGTATATATATGCAGTACTTCATACTGCAAGTGAGAGCTCTCAACGCAGGAGATGGTCACTGACCACACAGTTATCAGCGCGGAAAAGAAAGGCTGATAACCCCAGGCAGGGCCAAGGTGTATGCAAGACAGCAAAGCACTTCACACTGCAATGCTCAAAAATCAAGCTTTACAGTGATCGTCTCCCCTCTACCCCTCTCCCAACTGCAGTTCACCCACTACAGATACCTCAGTATTTTCAGTGGCTTCATTGAGACATGACCAGGCTGTGCCTAGCAATATTCTGCTTTCAAAAAAAGCACTGTGCACCTCCTAAGGCAGCAAAAGTAAGAGGTCATTATTTTTTTTTTAAATTCCAAACCACAGGGAGTGCCACTGTCCATAACCCACTGTCACTGCTGGACCATGTCACCTCCAAGGTTAATAGGTTCTGCTCATCAGCGTTGTTAAGTGGTTCACTATATCCGAGTGCACCTCTCTTGGTCCACCTCCGCGAGAACAAAGAGAAGCGATTTCTCTCCAGCTAGTGAAACAAGGTAGCCCACAAAATGTCACATATGTTCTTTTCAGGTGCTCAGCACTGTAACATCTAAGGTACTGTAAATCCCCTGGAATTAAGCAGAGTCCAAGAGATTGCTCTAGCTCTTCTAGCAAGATTGGAAACTAATACAGACTAGGCTGACCCTTCCACTCGCTGGGATTTAGGCAGCTTGTCAATATCACAAGCAAGAGAAAGGACAAACACAGGAAAATTGCAATGAAAGATCTGCTTATCTAGCTAAAGGCACAAGCCCCACCACTGGGAGCAGAAAGGACAGAATGCAGAAGAGCTCCTTCAAATAGCTGTGAAGCAACAGATACTTTTCAAACACAGCTTGGCAGCACCACCGCTTTCTGAAACAAAGGGGGCTGCAGCCTCACTGACAACTCATGAAAAATGGTGTCTAAAAATGAGTTAATATGAAATGCATCATCACAAAAGGAATATATAAAACCCGAAACACAGGGCTCAGGTTCCACAGTGAGGGGCATGCTAGCAATTTCTACAGAAGCGTTCATTTACAGTTTGTCAAAAGCTAATCCAGGTCAATTCACTACCTAAAAGTCAAGGTTTTGAGAAACGCCTGTTCTTTTCTTGCTAAGCGTGCTCCCTTCCCTGAAGCACAATCAATGCCAATCAAACCCTGCACATGAGCAGAGCTCTAGTGGAGAGATGCAGCCCATACAAATGAAAAATGCCACAAGCCCCCCCTAGAAAAGCCGCCCTGACAAAGCCTACAGCACGGCTCTTCCATTAGAGCCTTTCATAAAACACAGCCAGAGTGTGAATATAGAGTGCTGGCTAGAAAGCCCTCCCGAGTCATAAATCACATGGTACATGCACAGCATAAGTGGAGTTTATTCATGACGGACAGTATTTCAACAGGGCTTGATAGATGGGTGAGGAAAAGGAGCCAGACTTTATGGAGGATAGAACTAGTTACACAAGAGATTCTTCATTAGTGAGAGAACCTTAATGATATGAAGCATAGCCAAACAGAGTCAGACTGAAGGCTGGGGCTGTCCTGCTCTTCTCTGTCAACGAAGCAGGCACTGTTACCTCTCTGCAGCTGATGCTGCTTGCTGCCTGCTGGTACCAGGCGAGAAAGGCACAAGAAGTCGGTCCACGCATCGCTACACAGAAACTCCCCTGACAAGCAGTTCTGCTCTGAATTTACACCAGTGCCACTAGAAGCAGATGTTGGACAGCACTGCAATCAGACTGCTGCAGCGAGGCAATGGGAAAGAGGAGCTCTCATGATCCCCTACATGGCGGAAGGTTAATTGCTTAGATCTACCTCACTAGGACACCATCAAACCAACTCCTGACTATCCCTCCTACCCACAGAAGAGTAAGTGGGAGACAAGCCAGTCCTCTCCTATTTAAGAATTGCTCCCAGCTGTAATCTGAGCTACTAAACTTGATTCCTCAAACACCTGTTATTCTTGGACGAGCTCATTTTGCACTATACATCAGCAGCACAAAATGAAACTTTGATGCTTTGCAGGAAGAGAGGGCAGCAAGC